TAGGCATCACCTCTTTCTTGATCTATTTTACATCAGTTGAATTCACTGGTAAACTACCTCTTGTATCATTGCATTCATCAACAAGAACCCCCATATCACAAAAGAAACATTGTTTCATGTAATCAAAGTAAAATCTATCAGTGAGATCACACTCACAAATTACATAGAATGTATTGCAATCTAATTGCACAAAAATTAACCCCCATTTCTACCGCTTGATATATACTATTTCAAACGAGGATTGCGTGACTGCATAAGACAAGCACAGACCACAAAAGATGATGGAACAGACAAACTCAAATGGACGTGGAAGAAATGAAACTCAATTAGTATTATGATCAAAATATATGTAAAGCTACATGGCAAGGCATCTAAAACATGTTGCAGGCATAAACTATATGCTAAAACTAAAGCTGGATACAACAGAAACTTCACACTCCACAGAGAACTAGCTTTCACAAATTAGTGAAAAAGTCAGTCAGTCACACAAGTTTTCGATTCTTCCAGAAATCTTTTCCATGTGAAGCAAAACAGCTAAAAAATTCCAAGCAAACTCATGCATTCATTATAACTTATTCTTGTCTATCGCTAAGCCCCATCCACAAACATACTCCTTTCCAGATGGAACATTGGGAAAATGAAGGATAGAAACCAATCTGCAAAACTCATGTAGATGGCATAATACAAGTTGGAATCCTAGGGTCTCTATCTACCGACAACAAAACACAAATGAAGCATGAAATTCCTACTTTCATCCATCCAACATCAACCTATAACTCAAACAAAACTCATCGAAAGAGATCAAAGAAGTGTGTAAAAAGAGAATAAATTTTTACCCAAGATGAATTTAAATAAATTCTCCATCACTAAACTTCCATCTTTACCTATGCACAAACACAATTTCTCAAGCAGAATCATACATCAGTCACAAAACAAACCACATAATCGAATCCAACAAAAACCAAAACAAACACACAAAAAAAAATCAAATGAACAGGCAAGACAGACAAGAAGCAAAAATACCCTCAATAAAAAAAGTAGTATATCACCTTTAAAAAGATCCTTAAGCATCCAGATACCAAAACAACAAAAACATAAAACGGGATCTTTCAGAAACTTAAAAAAAAAAACCCAAAAAAGAGCAACAATTTCTCAATCATTCAGAAATCTCAACATCACCATCAGTAATCTCCTGCTGCAAATCTTTTGGATCTTTCCCATCAACAGTACACCCAACAGAAACACAAGTCCCCAAAATTTCCTTCACTGTCCCACTCAGATCCTTGGCCATCGATCTCACACTCATAACCTTAGCAATCTCAATAACATCATCAAGAGAGATGTTCCCATTATGCTTTATGTTCTTTGTCTTCTTCCTGTCTCTCTCTGGCTCCTTCAACGCCTTGATAACCAAAGCCGCTGCTGAGGGCACGACGGTGACCTTGGCCTGACGGTTCTGGACGGTGAGCTTGACGGTGACTCGGAGGCCCTTCCAGTCCTTGGCAGTTTCTTTGGCGATGTCTTCTCCGATTTTCTTCGGAGAAAGACCGAGAGGTCCGATTTTGGGAGCGAGGGAACTGGCTGCACCGACTTCGCCTCCAGTTACCCTCACGTAAACGTCGACAACCTGAGATGGGTCAAACTTCGGCGGCATTTTTGCTGCTCTGCTGCTGCTTGCTGACCGAGGGAATGGGGCGGGGGGCAAGGGTTTCACGAAATAGACGGATTATGAGATATATTGGTTGCTAGGGTTTTAAGAGAGTGAAATGTCTTTTTTAGGCCAATAAGGTGGGCTTCTTTCGTGGACTTTAACCAAGCCTTATTTGATTCCCTGTATGATAAAGGGAAACGTGGTCCGGAGTGATGGGTAGAACATGCAGCAATTATATTATTCTGATGGATCAAAACCGCGTTTTCAGCCATCTTCAGTGTTAATATTGAATTTTCACTTGTTTTTTATTAAAAAATATTTTTATTAATATTTTTTAATTATTTTAATGTATTGATATCAAAAATAAATTTAAAAAATAAAAAATATTAGTTTAATATTTTTAAAAATAAAAAATACTTTAAAAAATAATTATTGTCATATTTCTAAAATCTAAAATTTCTCATGAAATCATTTACTGATAAAAAAAATAATTTCTTTGGAAATATTAGTATGTTGTGTTTGATTTTTAACAAATATATATTCATTTTGTTAGATGATTTATATGAAATGGCGACTAAACTTTATTATGTTAAGATGGTCCTTGAAAGTAGATTTAGGGTAGAGGATCGAGGAGATAGGAGAAATAATATTTTTTCATGAGGTTCTAGAATTGATTAAAATATGTTTTTGGTTGTAGTTTGAGATAATTAATTTGAATTGATCTTTTCATTTTGTAAATTGATTAGTTAAAAAAAAATCAATGAATTTTTAACAGAAATTATGAGTTAATCCGAGTTTTTGATTGGATTAGATTGAGTGAATCTCTCCTTAGTTTTTTTTTTTTAATTTTATCTAAACTAGACAGGTCTGGACTCTAATGTCCCTGATTTGACCCTTGATCCAAGTTTTATAACAATGCATATAACCTCTTTCCTAAGACCAATAACATGTTCAAGTTCGCGCACGGAAGAGACAATACATGAACTAATTTGATGCTGTAAATCCTTCGGTGCTAAAGCAAATTATAAGCTAGAAGATGGAGAAAACTCTGAGATGGTTCCCTCATTACTATAGAATTGCATGTACTCAATGAAATAAGTCGTTATATTCTAGAGTGATGGGGCCCTTCCAAACTACAATAAACTTGTTGCATCGTAGTATCTTCACACAGGCTCACTTATGAGATTGAGAGTTCTAATTTTAATTTGTAGCTGGTTATTTGTCTACTTCTCTACAAGCTTTTTTAGAAATTATACTGTTTATAAGTTCATAACATTTTATATTTTCATATTGACACGAAAAAAAAAACTATCATTTATAGTATGTTTTATTTAATGATTAAAAAACCTTTATTACAACTTTGTTATAGAACTAAAGAAACCTTAGCCACCATGGCTAACATATTGCGATTTGCTCCATTCTGATAATAATCAAATGGGCTCAATAAGAGTTCACCTCCTCTATCTCTATCTTCGAGGCTCGAAGATCAAAATGCAAGATGAGGAATAAAAGGAGGGGTGATTTTTCATCCATGGGCCAAGAGGCGCAATAGATTACCTTGAGATGGACGTCAAAAGCTCGAAGTCCACTTCAGTTCGAAGCCATGTAGGATCATGGGGATGCCATGGGTTTTGATGGTTGGTAGGCAAGATGCCAGAAAGTTGGTGGCTCAATAAAACGCTAAGCTATTCTTCAAAAAATTTCCTGAATAACATTAGTTGGGAGCAGGAAATGGAAGGGAATCAAGCTGCTGACCGTTACTCCACACATTGAACATAAATCTGTTGAATCTAAACGAATCCACTACCACAAATCCAGCACAAATCTCCTCCCTCGAACCAAACAATAATGATGATATAACTTTACAGTATGAAAATTGAGAGATTCGGAGCATCAACAAGAACTGAGTCAACTGACGACACAGGAAAATAACTTCATCTATACAAGGAATAATCAAATCTATCAGGCAAATACTATGCAATGGGGGCAGTAAACCGAGCAGAAAAGGTGCCATGGTAAAGCATCCAAACAAAAATGATGATATATATGAACTGTAAAGGTAGAAGCAAACTGGATAAAACGGCGAAAATACACACAGAAGAGAAATGGCTTTCCCTAAACAAAAGCGAAGCTGGATAATCACTACTGAGAACGGGCTTTCCCAAGCAGCAAATAGACTAAACCTGACTAACAGTTGTTTCTTTATTATTACTCAAGTAATGAATTTGCAGCATATACATAGGAAATTTATTCAGATAGGCATCACCTCTTTCTTGATCTATATTACATCAGTCAAATTCACCGGTAAACTGCCTCTTGTATCATTGCATTCATTGACAAGAACCGAACATAGCACAAGAGAATTTCCTTGAAAAAAACATGTCCAATTGGCAAAGGCATTATTTACACATCAATTGCTATTTAAACACAAGTTAGTGAATATGATGGGTTACATCTACAAGGCAGAAACAGAATTTCAGGTAATAAAAGAAAAATCTATCAGGGGGGTCATACTCCCAATAACATAGATTGTACTGCAATCAATTGCGCAAATTAACCCCCATTTCTACAGCTTGATAAATACTATTCTGTAAGAGGATAGCATGACTGCATCGGATAAACAAAGCACAGAGGATGATGGAACACACAATGTCACATGGATTTGGAAGAAATGAAACTCTAGTATTATGATCAAACTAGACATAAAGTTGCGAGGCAGAGAATCTAAAAACAGTTGACACATAAGCTGAAAGTTAAAAATAAAACTGGATGCAACCGAAAATTCAAACTCCAGAGAGAATTAGCTTTCACAATTTGGTGAAAAAGTCAGTCAATCGCACAAGTTCTCTATTCCTCCAGAAATATTTTCCCTATGAACCAAAACAGCTAAACAATTCCGAGCAAACTCTAGCATTCATTATAACTTATTCTTGTCTATCACTAAGCTGCATCTACAAACATACACATTTACCACCGGAAGATTGGAAAATGAAGGATAGAAACCTATCTGAAAATCTCATGTAGATAGGATTATACAAGTTCTATCTATCAAATAAAAAAAAACAAATGATGCGTAAAATTCTACTTTTCATCCATCCGTCCTAGTCCTATAACTCGAACAAAACTCATCAAAAGAGATCAAAGAAGTGCCTAAAATATGAATAATTTTTATCCCAAGACATAAATTAAATAAATTCTCCATCACTAAGCTTCCATCTTTACCTAGGCACAAGCACATAACTCTTCAAGTAGAATCATACACCGAGCACAAAACAAACCAGATAACCAAATTCAATAAACTAAAAAAAAACAGAAACACAAAAAAAAACCAAATGACCAAACAAAACAGTAAACAAAACTAGCAAAAATACCCTCGATAATAAAGTAGTAAATAACCTTAGAAAACATCCTTAAGCATCCAGATTCGATAAAATTAGCCAAAAACATAAAATGAGATCTTTCGGAAACTTTAAAAAAACCCAAAAGAGCAACAATTTCTCAATCATTCAGAAATCTCAACATCACCATCAGTAATCTCCTGCTGCAAATCTTTTGGATCTTTCCCATCAACAGTACACCCAACAGAAACACAAGTCCCCAAAATTTCCTTCACTGTCCCACTCAGATCCTTGGCCATCGATCTCACACTCATAACCTTAGCAATCTCAATAACATCATCAAGAGAGATGTTCCCATTATGCTTTATGTTCTTTGTCTTCTTCCTGTCTCTCTCTGGCTCCTTCAACGCCTTGATAACCAAAGCCGCTGCTGAGGGCACGACGGTGACCTTGGCCTGACGGTTCTGGACGGTGAGCTTGACGGTGACTCGGAGGCCCTTCCAGTCCTTGGCAGTTTCTTTGGCGATGTCTTCTCCGATTTTCTTCGGAGAAAGACCGAGAGCTCCGATCACACAAGTCCCCAAAATTTCCTTCACTGTCCCACTCAGATCCTTGGCCATCGATCTCACACTCATAACCTTAGCAATCTCAATAACATCATCAAGAGAGATGTTCCCATTATGCTTTATGTTCTTTGTCTTCTTCCTGTCTCTCTCTGGCTCCTTCAACGCCTTGATAACCAAAGCCGCGGCTGAGGGCACGACGGTGACCTTGGCCTGACGGTTCTGGACGGTGAGCTTGACGGTGACTCGGAGGCCCTTCCAGTCCTTGGCAGTTTCTTTGGCGATGTCTTCTCCGATTTTCTTGGGAGAAAGTCCAAGAGGACCGATCTTGGGGGCGAGGGAACTGGCTGCACCGACTTCGCCTCCAGTTACCCTCACGTAAACGTCGACCACCTGAGATGGGTCAAACTTCGGCGGCATTTTTGCTTCTCTGTGATGCTTGCTGGCGGATGGAAAGGGAGGGAGATCAAAGGTTTCACGAAATAGACGGTTTATATAGATATAGTGGCGGCTAGGGTTTTGGGAGAGTGAAATACCGTTTCTAGCCCTAAAAATGGGCTTTTTCTTGGACTTTGATCGGACTAAAAAGGAAACAAGCTGTTGGATTTTTATTTTTTTGAGTTTGTTGAGGGATGTTTAAAATAATTAATATTGTGAAAATTAATAAAATTAATTAAAAAAATTAAATTAAAATAAAAAACTGATTAAATTGTTTGCCAAAATTATAAATTTTAGTTTTAGTTTTTAACTAGAAATTGGTACAAACCAAACTGAACTTATAAACACTAAAAATTATAAAAATATTTGAAATATAAATAGTTAAAGTGTAACCTAACCCTAACATAACTTTATTTCCTTTTACAAAAAGTAATTGTATTACCCAGATAAATTCTCAATCTTCCTCTCAATTAATTCACGTTTTTCCTTTTCTAGTTTTCCCATCTTCTTTTCTGGTGGGTTGTTGAATGAACTTACAATGAAAAGATTATATTTTTCAACGTCACATACATATCCAAAGAAAATTAATGTATAGTGATCCTTGCCCATCTTTATCTCTTGTATCTTTTTTTTTTATTTTTATCTTTCTTCCCTTTTTATTCTTAACTTAATCTTAGACTTAGCTACTTTGAGTTCGTGGTCAAGACTCTTTCTTTTACTCTTGCAACTTGAGGCTCTCCTTTCTAAAGCTGTGAAAGGTGCCCCTGGAACAAAGCCCCACCTTTCTTTACCCTCTTTAATGAAAGACCCTTACCCTGCTTCTTATTATTTATGGGTCGGGACCTGAGGGTTTTTTTCCCCTTAATTTCAAGAATATCTCAACCGATCTTTCTTGTGGTAAGTATTCGTTATAATGGTTGAGATTGATGTGATTAATGGCAATGGAAACCATGAAGGAGCCGTTTTGACTGAGATTGTGAAAATTTTAAAGCCCGATTTAATGTAAATCAATTTTAAAAAATTAAAAAAGAAAACCAATATATGATAGGATTAAGTTTCCAGTTTTATGCCAAAAAATCAAATTTAACCAAACCGCCCCGGTTTGGTTTGAATCAATTTCTGGTCCAATTCAATTAATATTTTACAAAATTAATTTTTTTTTATTCGGTTGATTTTTTAAGTCTAAATCAAACCGAATAGTTTAAACCAACTGAACCAACCCATGAACACTCCTAATATATATAGATTAAAACAACATGAGTCAATTATGATTAATTTACTAAATTTGTAATTCAAATTATTAGATAAAAATAATCTTATAAAAAATAAATTGAAATAAATTATGAATTCTAATTTTTTATAAATTTAATATAAAAAAAAAAATTAAAAAATCTCCATGTATATATATATATTCAACCAAGTTAGCCCATCAAATCACGATTCGAGTCATTAGTGTAGAATAACTCCGTAAAATCCCTAATAAAATTAATATTAAAAAAATATAGTTAAAATAAAAAAATAAATAAAAACATAAAAAAACCCTCCTCCTTTAGTGTTTTTTATTAATTAAAGCAAGATGACTCGATTTTTCTTTTGATCATGAGATGACTTGATCTTAGCACTGCATTAGGTAAATATTAGGTAACAAAAGGTTGGCCTCTCATTTGTCTCCAAAGATCCATATTAAAATAATATGATGTGTGTGTATGTATATATGTATCTGGTGTTTTAGGAACACATAAAAGGAATCATTCATGCCACCCCATGATTAATTCTATATCGCATATATGTAAGCATGTGTAAGGAAAATCCATACGTTTCATATATTCCAAAAATTCATTAGGAATTTATAGCAGTTTCTCCAAGTAGCTCAAAAGGAGAAGAAAATGGAGGCGAGGATGATTAGGTCTCTCTTGGTAGTTTTTGCGGTGGTTGGGATGAGCACTCTGCTGTAGGCTGCTCTATCTTGGATTGCTACCCAACTTGCTTCCTTCCTTCCATGTGTCCTCTCCCACCAAAAATCTGCTCTCGATCGGCTGTGCTGCTAAATGTTTAAAAGATTGCAGTTATTTCTGCAACCTTGGTTGTTCTTACGCTTCATGTGCTCATCTTAATTAGCACCACGGATAACCCTCGCACGTAAGAACTCTCTCTCTCTCTCTCTCTCTCTCTCCATGACAATATTAATTTCTACTCTTGACTTTAAATTCAAAATCAAAGTTTAGTGAGACGTAAATCTTCTACATCTTCTTAATTATTTGAAAAGGAAAAAACATTATAATGTTAAATCCAAAAAATAGGGTTTATGTGCATATATATATATATATATATATATATATATATATGCATGGTGTTAACATTGTTGTTTGTGCTTCGCAGGTGAAAAGGAAGTGGAAAAAGCGACTCCAATATTTTTTTTTTAAATCGAAACAAAGTAGTTTTGGGTCTTTTGACTATTTTTTTTCCCTTCAAAGCAACAGTCAATAAATTGATGACCGATTTTAAGCTAATAATATCTGGATTGATCAGGTTAGCCTGATTTTTAACCAGATAAACCAATTTTTTTTTCTTCAAACCGGATCAATTCACAACCGGATGTATCCTCCAAGCAATCCAGATTTTAGAACAATGCTAAAAACTCTTCCAAATGTTATTCATGTCATGACCTCTAGAATATCTTTGCTTTGAGAAATGGCACGATGATTGGATTGAAGAGATGAATTTGATATCAAAGCATAGAACAGGGCTCGAAAACCCAAAGATAAAACCCAAATTGAGGTAGTTCCAACAAGCAAGCCTATTCTTACAAGAAAAAATACCAAGATGGCCTAACCCACGCAATACATGGATCTAACGACCTAAACCCCTCCTCTGCGTTCTCTCTGTGGTTGTTCGGTGCCTGAAAAACCCTTTACCCATCAAGAATCAAAGTAAACCAAGAACCCTCCACTCTCTCAAGCTTTGAAGCCAAAAGAGAATTATCAGCAAAAACATTAAAGATAAAGAGAGATACAAGAATCTCAAGAAAGAGCAGAGCATACTCTTGTTGCAAGGAAACCCAGTTATGGTCTCCCAACTGGTTGTCCAATCTGCTTGCCTCTATTCATCTACCTCAAATTTTCCAACTTTCCATTCCAATTGGTTTTCAACAACACTTTCCCTGATTCAGGTATTCTTTTTTGGGCTCTTATTTTCATTTAATGTTATTCATGTTTGTAACTTGTTGTTCTGGGTTTCTGCTTTTTTCTTTTTGTTGCTGCTAGTTTACCTTGTGTTTGTTTCTTTGTTTCCATTTTGTTGAAGTTTTCTTCTTTTATGTGTTGATAGGTCTGAATCACTAAGAAAACATACCTCATTTCTTTAGCAGAGTTGTTTTCACCGAATGAATGTGAATTTGATCATGTTAAGATGGGCTGTGATCATTTTGCAGTTTAACTGAGTTCTACGCTTTCGTTTAACTGAGTTCTTTTGGATATCTGAAAGTTGGTATTTTGTTGTTCAGTGGGAATTTTAGTGTGTTCTGGGACTCGGTGTATGGCGAGGATTCGGAATAAATGAGGCTAACATATTGTCTTCAAGAAGGCCATGGTCATAAATAATAGGGAGGGAGTTAGTAATTAGCATTCAAGATTGGATCCGCATGACCAGGACTTTTTTTGTTGGATATTGGTTTTTTGATTGACAAGAAATGGCAGCTGGTTTTTAATGTGTGTGCATGCTTTGCTCATGTTGTCATGTATGTTTGTTTTCTCAAATATATAACGCAAATATCAAAATTGTCTTCAAAACACTTATCCGACTTTCTGTTGTAAATCAAATTCCATATATTGAATCAGGTACTTATGTGGCCTACAATGACGAGAATGGTGGGGTAATCAAAAGTTTAAAGGAAGATGGTATTGTTGATTTGGACACTGACTTCAGCTCGCTCCCAGAATGGATATCAATGAGAGCGATGGTTAGCACCTGGCTTGCAGATGCAATCATGTATGAACTCTGGGTGGGGTCTGATGGAACCTCTGCCCGAACAATTTATTACTCTGGCCTCCCTTGGTTGATAGGAAAGGCTTTATTAATGAAACAGGTGCACGTTGTTAAGCAGCGACTTGGGATAACTAAAGAAAATGCTGAACGAAGGGAAGCAGAGGTTACACCTCTATCGTTTATGATATTTTTCTGCAACTTGTTGATATCAAATCTGCGCACATACACTAGTGCTAGAAAGCATACACCTGTGGAATGATTTTACCCGTTTATATATTGCTTCATTTTCTGTTAATTTTCCTTGACCATGGCCTTGCAATTTTTTTATTTTAATTTATGGATAGATCTACAGGAGAGTGAAAATTGCGTATGGAGCTTTGGATAGATTTAGACAGTTTCCAATCCCAGATATTTCTAAGCATACATGCTGTTCATCTTTGGTTAGCTAGCCAACTAATACATCACAAAGAAATATGTGAGCAGGAGCAGCAATTGCTCTACGCTACCTTGGTCATTTAGGTTATAACATGTAATTACATCACTGATGCTAGCAATGTTAGCCACCGGGATATCCTAAATTATGTTCTAGGCCTGCTAGAACTCTGGAGCACTTGGCAATGGCATTCTCCCATTACTTAACATATTCTGCATATCCCTCTGCAGAACCAATAGCAAATTCAGTAAGCGAGCTGTTTGCAACTGACATTCCTGCACAAAGTACCTTTATGGGAATTTCAGCCATTTTCTCTGTAGTCATTACATCTTCTACTTCATCAACCTCCACCATTTCCAAACTTCTGCCTCATTCAACTGACAACCCTGCTCCAAATCTCTTTGAACGGACTGGGACCCTGTGTGGATCGCCTCTTAGCTGCTGTGCATAGATAAAACCCATTCCAGCAGCAAAAATAAATACATTGAAATTCTATGCTATAATCATGGCCTTGAAAACTTGGGATGCTCAGAATGCATCATTCAAAAAGTTATGCAAAAAAATTTGAGATGTACCCTGACTTCTTGGTAGAGTTTCTTCTCCCGGGCATATAATCTGTCAAATGTTGATTGGTGACTACATGAGAACATGCAAGAAATCAAATTGGTGTTGCAAGAAAAAACCCTTTTTTTAATCAAAACGATGATGGTAACTATCTATGCAATGCCTGTTGTGTCCGAAGACAGTACAGGACAAGACCTACCTCTTTTCTACCCCCCTACCACCTCCCTCTTTCCAACCTCAACTTTCAAACCCAAAAAGAACATCATCAAACCCTAACTGAAAAGCTTTTATCTCTGATAAAACAATGCAAATGGAAATATATGAAATTTGTAAATACGTTTCAAGTTAATATGATTTTTTTTTGTTCAACTATCACTTCATATGTGTGCACAGAATGGAGCTTCCAATGAAGCAATTGTGCTATTCAATGGAATGAGAGAGGCAGGTCCTAATCCAAATAAAGTCACAATGATTGAAGTATTGTCTGCATGTTCCACAATAAGGGCCCTTGATTTGGGGAAATGGGTTGAGACACATGCATCAGAAAGAGGTTTACAGCAGGATGTCTATGTTGCGAGTGAATTAATTGATATGTATGCAAAATATGGGAGCTCGGATGATGCACTCAGAGTTTTTGAGAGTATGCCTCATAAAAATGAGGTCTCATGGAATGCCATGATTTCTGCTTTTGCTTTCCATGGGAGGCCCTGGAAGCATTATCATTATTCAGACGCATGTCAAAGGATAATGGCACTGTTCAGCCTAATGACATCACCTTCATAGGAGTCCTTTCTGCATGTGTGCATGCCGGATTGGTTGATGAGGGTCGCCAATTGTTTGAATCAATGAAATTGTCATTTGGATTGGTCCCAAAAGTCAAGCATATTCTTGCATGGTTGATCTTTGTGCGCGTGCAGGACTTCTGGACGAAGCTTGGGACTTAATCAAGAAGATGCCTGGGAAACGAGATGAAATTGTGTTGAGGTCATGGCTTGGTGCCTGTCAGAGGCGTAGAAATGCAGATGTTGGTGAAAGGGTCATTCAATTGTTTCCATAGATGCAATTATCTTATCTAAGATATATGAAAATATGAGAAGGTGGGATGATTCTGCAAAGATGAGGCAGTGTGGTGTCTCTAAAACCCCTGGCTGTAGTTGGATTGACGTTAGAGCTGGTGCTCATGAATTTCATGTTGGTGGCAGCTTATATCATCATTCGGAGAACATATACCAATTGCTGAATGAGGAGATGAAGAGAGAAGGTTACATTCCAAAAATCGGTTGCATATAGAGGTGGAAAAGTTGAAAACTTGGTGGCCTCTTTCAGCCATTGACAGTGCATTCGGAGGGATTATATCTTCTGGTTGATCACTACAGCCAAAATGTTGAATGGTAAGTTGTGTTCTTAAGAGCTTAAGCAAGGACCTCTATTTTGCAACTATACAAATGTAGTATTCTATGGTGATTCATCCTTTAGGGTGTGGGGTTCATTCTTTGTTAAAGAAGAGGAAAGTTTTTTCCGGTGCTAAAAAGAGGAAAACACTTTCCTTTTGGAAAAAGGGTTGTGTTTTCCATGTTTGAAACCACTTTCTTGGAAAGTGGTTTCTCATAGTTTATCAGACATAGGAAAGTTGTTCCAGGAAAGTGGTTTTCATGAAACAAGTAAGGCCAGTTTAGTTTTTTAATGCTCCCTTCTTTGCTTTCTTAACATTCTCCTTGTTGTGGCAATTGCAGCTGGAAATATGATAAAGCTAAAGGACATGCTAGGAAGAGAAGAAATGCATTTTGATTTGTCAGTGTTTTAAGCAAGTCGAAGTGGAGGTAATTAAAGATTCTAACAAGAGACTTAACTTTATTTTCATGTATTCTTTCACTTGATATTTGTCCATGTCTAATTGGATCTATTATTCTTGCAATTCTCATTTTCTAGTTTTTTTTAGAGGAAGTTTAATTTTTTTCTTTTTACCTCCAGGTGAAAGCTAAGGTTTTCTAGTTTTCTGTACATCACTTTTGGAACATCCGATACCTAGTCTAAGCGTAATCAAATGACTTTAATCAAGCATTGCAGCATATGCTGGACGTTCGAGATTAGAGTATTCAGAAGTGGAGATGAATTGTTATGTGGAATCTCGAGACTGCTTTGATTCATTAATTTGCTCAGTACCGGGTGGTCATCCATTTCAAGTGGCTGGGGAGTGCCATATGGGCAAGGGTCAGCCCTGAAGGGATTCGTTCTCGACATTACCCTTTGATATTAGCTGGGAAACTCAATCTAAGACAGCTCAATACTCTCAGTTACTGAAGTTGTGGATCAAGCAAATTATCTAAAGCGCTCACAAGCTTGTATACAATCAGTGAAATAAATTTGAATTGATATTTGTGTTGGAATGTACTCCCTTTATTATTAAATATTTTTAGATATTTGCGTTGTAAATTTGAATTGATCATCCATAAAAATCAAGTAATAATGTAATATACAAGGGAGGTAAAAACTCATGGAATTTAAAAGCCCCTGCTGTATAAAAACCCTCGAAACTGAATGAAATTGTATAAATTAATACAACATAAGCATGCATTTAAACTTGTTTAAATTTTAAAACTAGAATACACAACAATGCACCAAGCTTGGTACCATCAAGGCCATGAAAACCTAAACTTGTATAAAATGGGAAGATTTCCCACTAAAAAATAATAGCAATTATTGATGCTTACCTCAATAAAATGAAACCAAGCTTGTCGCCAATATGGATTTATGTATAGAATTGCACCGATTACCAGCAGCACCATGATATATACAACCCAAAAGGTCACATAGAAAACCTCCATATCCATGAAGCCATCATTATCTTCATTGTTCGTTGAAGTTGGCGTTGGTGATGGTGGCACAGTCGCACCACATATTTTGGGTAGCGGTTCTCCACAAAGAAAAGGGTTGTCCTTGTAGCACCTCTCATCAAACGTGGCAAACTGTGCAACTCTCGCAGGAGTCTTACCAGACAAATTATTGTGAGCCACACTAAACACTTCTAGAAAAAATAGTTCAGTAAGTCGAGATGGGATTTCTCCATCCAATTTATTGTAGGAAAGATCCAAGCTCTCTATTTCCTTTAAGTTTGAAAATGTTGGTGGAATTGGTCCAGTCAAACTGTTGTGTGAAAGGTTCAACGCCTTGATCTTGTTGAGGTTTCCAATTTCAGGAGGAATTTCTCCTGTGAAATTGTTGCACGAGAAATCAATTCCTGTTAAGTACTGGATAATGCTTCCTCTATAAGAAAGGGATACATTCTTCATTGTAAACTCAAAAGATTGGTGTGATGAGGATTCATCATTATAAGAATTGTATTGTAGAGGGAAAGGATGGGTAGATATAATCCAGAAGAGGATGTTACCAGAAAGGTGGTTGTGAGAAAGATCAATCAAGGTTAATTGGTCCAACCTGGACAATTGAATTGGGATTTCACCTTCAAGATTATTATAACTCAAGAGTAGAAATCTCAAGTTATATAACTTGTCAATCCATTCTGGAATTCTACCAGTTAAATCATTATGGGAAAGATCTAATACGAGTATCTTAGAGGAGTTATAAAATGCCATTGTGATCGGCCCTTGCAACTTATTTCTAGACAAATAAACATATCTTAAATTTGAAGAAGTGCCGAATCTAGGTGGTAAACGACCAGAGAAATTGTTCCTTGATAAGTCCAAGAATTCAAGAGAAGACATATTCCATATCCATCCAGGGATTTGCCCTTGCAAACTGTTGTTTGACAGGTCGAACGCTTGCAGGGAGCTAATGTTATCCAATGAGAAAGGAATGCTTCCATTAAAACCATTGTCAGACATGTATAAAACTTCTAACCCTGGCAAACGAGCTCCGATTTCTGAAGGGATTTGGCCTTGGAAGTGATTCATGGATATACTTAGGAATGACAAATTCACATGAGAATTCTTTGGCAACAAGAATGGACCCGAAAGAGAACAGTTTTCTAAAGAAAGTCCTTGTAGGTATGTGTTGTTCTCAATCAACCAATTTGGAAACTCTCCTTTTATTTGGATGTTTGTAAGATCCAAAGATTGCAGGTTCACTTGGTGGTAAAGGAACTTGGGAAATGCTCCTACATTTTGTCCACGACTGCTCAAATAAAGGGACTCTAACTGGAACTTTGGGCTCAGATGATCATCTTCTTCTGAGTATATTTCATTACCTGATCCATCAAAATACTTGAGTTTTGAAAGGTTGTATAATAGGCTCAATGATATTGGGATCTTCAAGTGATTGGAAGAGAGATCTAGTCGTTGAAGGAAAGTCAAATTTGCGAGACACGGAGGCAAGAAGCCACTGAGATCATTGCCCTCTATATATAGCACTTGGAGATTATTTAAGTCACATAGGCCTGATCATATTATAATTTAGAAAAAATTAAAACTCTGAGTGTCTATTGAAAAATATACAACCTATAGAGAAACATAGAGTAAGAGTCATTAACCTTACCGATATTTTGAAAAATGCTATTGTTGAGAGTATTGTAGCTCAAATCCAAGTATTTCAAGTTCCTGAGATGAAGAAAGCCTGCCATAATCAATAAATTATATTAACGTTAAAAAACAATTAAAACTATAAAGGAAATGAAAGAGTTAGCAAAAAGCAGCTTATAGAATGAATAATAAGTATCTCAATTGAGTTCATTTCTAAATTTGAAATTTAATTCTCTTTTAATGGTCATTTTACTCTAGTAAGCAAATTGCTAATAAGTTGCTAGTTCCGGTGGTGGGTATCAAGTGGTTCTAGTCTATTATTGGTTGAGTAGTGTATTTTTTTATGTTTTTTTCTATGTTTTTTGAGTTTTTTTATTTAATTGACTCATAATTAGTTTTTAATTTTTTTAATTTTCCCCATTAAAATTAAAAAGAAAGGCTATACAAATAAAATAAAAGTTCAAGTTTAAAATATTATAATTTAATCCACCTATATTACACTATTATTTTTTCCATAATTTTTTTTTATAGAAAAAGCCATATTTTGTTGAAATGTAAGGAAAGTATAAGTGAAACTATCAAAACTGATATTCTTAATTCCATATATTTTTTTAAGAAAATGCTTTATTGGCGAGATGTTTCATTGGTAGAATTCAAGATGGTCTTAATTCCGGTCAATTAAATATTTTATCAGCTAAGGAAAATGAGTTATATATTCTTTATCTACATTAAATTGATATTCTTTAGAGAAAATAAATTTCTTCACGACATTAATGAGTGTTATTAACATTCTTCCATAATTCTTTCTCTTTCTATAGATTGATAAGACTTGGATTGTTCTCTCTCTCTAGATTGCTTTTTATATGTCATAGTAAATTTAGAAAGTAATATTCTTTATTTTATAATTTCATATTTTGTAATCTATCATTTTCAAGATATTTAAAACACTCAAGTTGTCTTTTTTATGGTTTTGAAAATAATAATATATTATAATATCCATCTATCAGTGTAAATTAAAAGATAAAAAAAGTCCACGTGTATATAAACAAAGTCTCCTGTGATTTCTTTGTTCAACTCTCCTAAGAGGTTATTAAATACAATAATTCTTTACTAATGAATTATGGCTCAAAAATGAGAAGGGAAGTGTAGAAATTGTAGATTGGATTTTTGATACGTCTGACAAAAAGAAAAAAAGAAAAACATTATTCTTAATTTATTCTTCTCCTAAAAATAGCACTCTCAATGTAAAAAAGTTACTTTTTCATTAAAGAAATTATCGTTTTTGTATATGATCATTTTGTTTACATTACATTGAAATGATGCTAAGAGAGGACCAAAATTGAATTGAAATATTGTTAATATTAAATGGATAGTAGACTTTTAGAATAATAAAGATTTTAATTGAGTTAATTTCTAAATTTAAGATTTAATTGTTTCTCCAAGACTTGTTTAGTGGGTTACTAAAACATAAAAGATGAATTCTATATAGACACATCTAATTGTAGTTGGCATAAAAAAAAAAAAAAAAGCAGAACGATTAATTTACCTTTAAGAGATACAGTGCTTCTGAGAGCAGACAATGATAGATTTTTTAGAGAAGGCAGTGCTCCTCCAAGGCTTTGAAGGGAGTGTTCATCCAGAGAACAGCGGTCCAGATACAGCTCTTCCAATGAGCTTAAATTATGGAACCCTGTTTGTTCAAAAGTAGCAAATTGTATTTTTCAATTAAACCCAAATATATGAACATCACTATATATAATAACTTACTCTCACCTAATATTCTTCCTCTAAAATCATTGTCTTCCAGGTGAAGTGCCGTGAGGTTTGGGAATGATCCTAACAAACGAAGAATACTCAAGTTAAAAATATTATAATTTCATCAAACCACTAACATGATATGTTACACTATTATTTTTTTCATATTTTGTTTTTCTTTCCCTTGTTTAGAAGATGCCATATTTTTTTTAAATATAAAGAAATTATAATGATTCCAATTGAGTTAATTTTCTAATTTGAATGGTCAATGATAAGTAATAGTGGAGTTCAAATTTGTTAATTTACCTGTATAAGATACAGTGCCATTAAGTTCTCGCAATGACAGATATTGTAGAGAAGGCAGTGCTTCTCCAAGGCTTTGAAGGGAGTGTTCATCTAGAGAACAACCATCCAGATACAAACTTTCCAATGAATTTAAATTTTGCAACTCTGTTTGTTCAAAAATAGAGTTTTTGAATTAATCTCAAATATTATATAAACATCACTATAACTGGAAGTGTTGTGAGGTTTGAGAATGCTCGTAATGATTGTAAAATATATAACTTACCGTCACTTAATTTTCTTCCTCTAAAATCATTAGAGTACAGGTGAAGTGTTGTGAGGTTTGAGAATGCTCGTAATGATTGCAATAACTGGAAGTCACTTCCATAGGTTGTGATATTTGCTAGCCATAGAGTACTCAAGTTGCTTGGACCTGCAAGTTCGTTAGGGAAGAAACAAGAATAATTAATATTATCTTCCTGATGCTGCCAGCCAGGTAGGTAATGTGAATGTGTTACTGATTACCTCTTGAGGCTGCCAACTTGTTGATATTGTTGCCGCTCAGACCCAAGGTCTCCAAGCTGCTCAGAGATTCTTGATATTTATATAAAAAAATAAATTAATACAATACTCAGTAATTGTGTTTTTTGAAATTAAATTTAATAGATAGTTGAGTTAATTGAATTTAATATTTATAAAAATAAAAGTATATAAAAAAACTAACCTTTCAAGTCTATTGACCCCTCCAGTCTATTATAACCTAAATATAGTGTTTTAAGAGACGGAAGCCCCTCCACATATGACAGAATACTGTTATTGAAGCTATTATCTCCCAAGTCAAGGATCTCCAAATTGCTAAGTTTCTGTAACTCGTAACCACCTATATAAAAAAATAAAAAAATAATTAATTAAGACTTCATGTAAAGAATAAAAAAAGAAGAAGATATTATTGGAGTAACTTAATTATTATTAATCGAGAGGCATGTAATTGGTACGATGACTTCATGTAAAGAGGTTGAGGGGTGAAAGTAAAAGAAAGAGCAGTAATGATGACAATGAAAGTAAGAGGAATAACTGTTACAGTGATGATGTCATGATTATAACATGCTGTGGAGGTATGATTATATTAATAATGTAAGGAATTAAACATCTCCTTTTTACTAAATATGATTTCTATTTCTTCGATGATGAATTACTGTGTGGAGAACCAAAACGATACTAATTAAACAACACCTTATTTCATTAATTCTAAGAAAATAAAACTAATATAAATATTTTGTAATACTTAAGAGAGCAAACCTTTCTTCCCAACCCAACCAGCTATACGATTACCGTACAAGATGAGAACATTGAGATGTTGGAAAGGAAGAAACAAGGAGGCGTTTAGGTACCAATCCCCCAGCTCCTCGTTCCTCACGCCGTCAAGACCGAGCCCGGTGACTCGACCTGTGCTGCTGCTGCAGCGAATACCTTCCCAATCACAACAGTGGGCGTCAGCTTTGATCCAGGAGGGAAGGGAGGTGCCATTGGGATAGTTAAGAGAATCTTTGAGGTGCAAGAGAGCGATCCTCTCTTCCTCCAAGTAGCCAAGAGGCAGCCATCCTTGCAGCGAAACCGTTATCACTAACACCGTCAACAGCTGAAGGAACAGCCCCATCTTAATTAATATATATCAACTATTACAATATTGTTGCAAATGGCAGCGAGGAGGTTAAGGCTTTTATAGAGGACTTCACGGACCCATGCCGTGCACAAAACTGCATGATGGCAACGGACACATCCCCTCATGGAGAATAAAATAAATATTTTTTTTTTAGTTTTATCAAATTAAGAGGTTGTTTGAGAATAAATTTCAAACCGTGTTTTTTTAAAAATAATTTTTAATATTTTTTTATTATAATATATTAATGTTACAAATAATTTTAAAAACAAAATTTTTTATTTTATTTTAATACATAATTCATAATATCTGAATTCATTCATTTAACAGTTATCTTTAATATACACAATCTCTTTGTCTCCTTTTATAATACTTTTAATCTGAATATCTTTTAGCCCGAGATAGAGAAAGGTGACTCGACCTGTGCTGCTGTTGCAGCGAATACGTTCCCAAGAACAACAGTGGGCGTCAGCTTTTATCCAGGAGGGAAGGGAGGTGCCATTGGGATAGTTAAGAGAATCTTTGAGGTGCAAGAGAGCGATCCTCTCTTCCTCCAGGCAGCCAAGAGGCAGCCATCCTTGCAGCGAAACCGTTATCACTAACACCGTCAACAGCTGAAGGAACAGCCCCATCTTAATTAATATATATCAACTATTACAATATTGTTGCAAATGGCAGCGAGGAGGTTAAGGCTTTTATAGAGGACTTCACGGACCCATGCCGTGCACAAAACTGCATGATGGCAACGGACACATCCCCTCATGGAGAATAAAATAAATATTTTTTTTTTAGTTTTATCAAATTAAGAGGTTGTTTGAGAATAAATTTCAAACCGTGTTTTTTTAAAAATAATTTTTAATATTTTTTTATTATAATATATTAATGTTACAAATAATTTTAAAAACAAAATTTTTTATTTTATTTTAATACATAATTCATAATATCTGAATTCATTCATTTAACAGTTATCTTTAATATACACAATCTCTTTGTCTCCTTTTATAATACTTTTAATCTGAATATCTTTTAGGAAAAAATGCATGATGGAAATGTTCTCTCGGACCCACCTCATGGAAAAAATACATGATGGCACCATCCAACGGACCCATGTCGTGGAAAAAAAGAAGCAGGATGGCATAGGACGGCAGTGTCCTCTTCATCACATTTGTTTTCATTTTGATATTATTTTGTTTTTATGTTTTAAAATTATTTTTTAAAAAAATGGAAGTATCCAACATATATTGAAAAAAATTATTATAATAAAGCATTTAATTACAATTCCAGTAATTAATGGTGGTTACATTTTTTTTAATTAATGATAATTGAAGAATATATTAAAATAGTTATTTAAAGAATGATAAAAACAAAATAAGGAGAATTAAGTTAGTTGAATTTATTTATTTTTACATTTTTAATTTGTATAGTTTGGAAATGCGTGCAAATCATATTTTTAAAAAAATTAATTTTTTTTATTAAAATTTAATATATTTTATATTATTTTGATGTGTTGATATTAAAAATAATATTTTAATATAAAAAATTATTTAAAAAATAATTATAATTACATTTTAATTGATAATGGTCTCACGGACCCATCTCGTGGAAAAAACAACAGTCGACCAACCCACTGAGCCATATCATGGAAAAAATGCAGATGACATTAATGGTCTCTCACAGACCCATCTTACACTGCAAAATAGCTGGCTAGCTTTAACCTTTCATTCAATGTTTTTCCACAAAAGACTTTGACTTGGGATCAACTTTTCAGTTCATTACTTTTATGGAATTCAATTCGAATAATTATATTCACCGAATGATAGTTATGATATAAAATATACACAGTGATGTCACAGTAGTTAATTACATAAGTTGGATTGATTTATATATATATATATATATATATATATATATATATAAAATAATATTTTTTATTTTTTAAAATTTATTTTTAATAGAAATATATTAAAACTATTCAGTACTATAAAACTTTTAAAATGAAAAAAAATACAGGTTACCCCTATTTTTATATTTTATATTAAGGTGACAGTAAATTAGTGGCACAAGTTGTTTTTATTTTTATTTTAAGCAAAAAAATATTTTTTAAAAGTTATAAAAAATTTAAAAATATCATATTATTTACTGATTATATCAAATTTGATCCTCAAACTTTTCATTGCTATATATATTTTATTTTAATATTTTTTTTCAATGTCATCCCTTAGAATTTAATTTTTATATTAATTTTAGTTCTTATTTTTATAATTATTATTTTCTTTTCTCTAATCATTTTTTAATTGAAATTTTTTATCTATCAAATTTTATCCTTATTTTTTATTGTTATTTTTTTATTTAAAATAATTTATAAAATTTTAATTATTATTATTTTAATTTATTCATCTTTAAATGTTTTTATTTTTTAAATTTGATCTCTATTATTTTTATTTTTATTTATTTTATTTGAGATAATTTATGAAATTATATATTTTTTAATTTCATTCTTATTTAATTTTTTAATTTATAAGATTTGTTCTTTATTATTTCAATAAACTTGAAAAAAAATAAAACATTAATAAGTTTTTTTCAGTTCATTTTCCATGACATAACCAAACACTGTGAAGTGTTTTTTAA